ATCGCACCAGGTGTCTCGATTGCTATCGTTCACTAAAATATTTGGAGGTACTGGCAAACTGCTGCAATTAACACTCAGGACATTCTTCACTACAGATATCGGTTTTCGAGTCAAATGATAGCAAGTGTATGCCATATAAGTGAGTGTAAGTATGCCTCCTTGATGCCAGGCCATCCAATTGACACGACGATGCTCACAACAGCCATTGCATGTACATTTTATGGCTTGCAGGCCCCATGGCAAGTCTCTTCCATTCATATTTAATACTTTTTTTAAATATTCAATAACTTGTCAAACACGTTAATTTTCGTTGAATTATCAAACAACAAAGCTCTATAATTCTTGTACTCTTTGTTGACAGTAGATACAAGATTCTCTTTATGTACAGGTGCAATAATCTGTATCTCTTATTGTAACATCCGACGTGTAAAATATAGTTGGATTTAAATATATAATGAAATCACAATTATATTAATTAGCTAAGTCGACAAACATAGAAACTTCTTTGTATGATCACAATTGTATTCATTAGCTAAATTGACAAAGACACAGGTATCTCTTAATGCAATCATTAAACGAATTATCTGAACAAGTTGCCCCTGAGACGTTTCGCATAGTACTGATGTTAATGCCAATGAACAAAGTGTTCATCGAATCCTCGGATAAGAACGGTGATGACGATAGTAAATAAACGCAGCTGTTAGTTATAACCTAACCTGTAAGGAAGGAGCTTGTAGAAGACACAAAAAAACGATAACGAGTGTCCGCATATACTTACTTAATTGGAAGAGATTCCGCAGGCAGGTAAATAGGATTATCGATAAATGCAATCCTGCCATTTGTCTTGGTCTGTCTTTTTTGAAATGCAATGTTTACTATACCTCTACGAGATGACTGTTGCAACGTCAGCAACAACAGTCACCAACGCCCACACATGCACTCCTGCGATCATACACGGAGATCGATTGCGTGTCGATACTAATTGCAATGCTTTTGAAGGAATAGATTATTGCACGGTTCCCTTGAATAAAGTTGTTATGTGAGATAAATGCAACTATTGTGGTATTCGACTCCATCAATTTTATAATCGATTTAAGGTTATCTCCCAATATTTTTTTCAAGAGAAATGGAAATATTTAAAATTTAATATGTGAATGCATTAAAAACTTATTTTATATTGATTTATATAATGTGTTTACATAATGTGTTTATATAATGTGTTTACATAATTTGTTTACAGAACGGAGATTTTAATTTAGATAACTGCTGTTACCATAGAATGCCATGAGTAATATCAAGGTGTATCCTTATCTTACAAATAATTTGTTTCTAATAAGATCTATTTCACAATTGTTGCTTTGAATTTGCGAATCTTAACGTTGTACAGAGATCTGTTTATACCTTTCCCAACCGTCAGGGAAGCTGACGTCGTATACCAAGTGCTTCGAATCGACAAGGAGCCATCAAGAAGTGGAGTCACAAAGAAACTTACCTTGAACAATAATTTTCTGGAAGTGTAAGTCTCAAATTATTGAGTCTTCTTATACATTGCTTCACTGACACTTGTCGTTTTCTTTGTAGGTCATTCAGTGGTAAGGAAGCAAGGAAGGTGCGTGTGGCGCTTACATCTTTCTTTGAACACCTGTTACTGGTGACGGAAACTATTGAACAATTCGGTCCACCTGCACCGACATATGATTATTACTAAGCTTAAGAAAATCTAGCATTTGATATTTTTTTAATTATATTTCTCTATTGATCATTTTTAAATGTGTCATGGAGCATACCCCTGCGCCTTACGCTCCCAGAGCTGTCTATGGATATGCCATGTACATCGGCTCGAATATGCTCTTCCTGTTGTATATGATATGGGCGATAATACCGGATAAGGTGTTGCACGATTATTTAGGCTTGACGTACTGGCCCTCCAAGTATTGGGCAGTCGCGATTCCCATATGGGCACTGACTGCTCTAGCCACATTCGCGTTTCTCATTTATCCAGCTATCAATATGTTGATAACTCCGGATATTGATGACATTCGGACTATCACGGATAAATATGCCTTGCAGGAGACCGATACTATTCCGGGTGGAATACCGGCTGTGTCCGACATACCCATTACAAAAGTCTGCCGGAGATTGTATTTGAAAAAATGTACTTCATAACTGTAATAATTATTTAACAAACATTAGATATATATATCACTTTATATATTTTTTGAAATAAATGTACATGTATTCCAATTGATCAATTAGCACCAAAGTGGACATCGCCTGTTTGTAAAAATCAATGACTTTATATACATTATATATGTACATATATAAATAATACATTACTATATTATCGCACATACATATTCTTATTGTATATGTACATCACTGCATAATGAACTATCTCCGTGCTATACATTACATCATTTGATATGGACATTAGTATGAACTGTGTGAAATAAGAGTATCAACGTTTTGATTATCGCTAATCTGTGATGAGAAACTTAATTTTCGAGGAAAACATGTGCGAGATGAGTGACACTGACGAAAACGATAACGGGGATGATCGATCTGTACGATACGATTTTCGTACCGTTAATCCCCATCAAACGATTGTGAATCTGCGACAATCGTTAAGAGATAAAATTAGCAAAAACGAGATGTTTTATAGTTTCGAAATTGTTTCTACGAGGAAACCCGGTGCATTTTACCGAAGGTCTGTATAGCGAGAGAAACCGAATCGACAGTAGGCAAAAATTTTCTTAATTAAAACAATAAAAGACAAACTTTTCTCTCAAAATATGAGAATCATGATAGAAATTTGTAATGTTTTGATATATTATTGAGGTTATAAGTATCTTAAGTTTTCCTAAAGCAACACTGACCTTTGCTTTTCACAAAAACAAGCAAAGAATATAATACTTGAAAGATATATATATTTATATATTTATAATAAATAAATATATTAGGCTTCTAATAGATATGGAAGAATATTCGCCTCTCTTTTATGCATTAACATGGCATAATGAAGCAGCTTCCAGCAAAGATAGTTATCTACCATTGGACTTGGTGAAGAATTTTCCATCCAATACTCTTCTACATCTCGCGGCTAAAGGTTTGAAACGCGATGAAGTTCTCCTTATTCTAAGAAAGGCTCTCGCCTTCGGAATAATTAATATATTTGCATTGCAAGGAGGTAATTAATCGCCAATTCTTTCAGAGTGATCCTTTGATCAATTTCCGATTATCTTAATTGATCATATTAAATGATGATTACATTGTTGTTATGTGAATATGAATAATTAATTTTTTTCTTATAAGAAGAAAGATTAAGAATTTATCTAATTAAAAATTTTGTAAAACCTGAATTAATCGCCAATTAAGTTAATCAAAGTAGCTCTCAAATCATTGCAAAACAGCGCAATTTATTGCAAAACAGTGCAATTCGAGTCAACAGGAATAATCTAAATAAATAATAGAAATAATAAATGACTAAATTTTAGACTAGAGATTTTAATATTTTAAAATATATTTAATAGACTTTGTATATCACAATATGCCATTAAATGATTGTGATCAATAAAAAATATGCATACTTGTTTATCAAAACTGAAGAATTGAATTCGCGATAAAATGCGTCTTCAAGATTTGATTTTATCGGTCTCTGAGTATTTTGTTGGAAAAATACACAAGAATTTGGTCGAATTGCAGATTCATTATCCGAGAACGGTGACTTTGAACATGCAGCGGATTTGGTCGCTTTTATCAGAAAGCAGTTTGGCGATACATTTTGCGTATGCGTGGCGGGTTATCCACAAATGCACCCGGAATCGCCTTCCAAGGAACTTGACTTGCATTATCTAAAAGCGAAAGTATTAGCGAATTAATTAGTCGAGCAAAATGACAGCCCAAGTAAGAATTTTAATTAAAAATAAAATACTTTTAGGTGGAGGCCGGAGCGAATTTTATCATAACGCAAATATGTTTTGAATCGCAAGTTCTGATAAACTTCGTGAGAGATTGTCGAGAAATCGGAATTCAAATTCCAATTCTATTCGGAATTCTTGCGCCGGCAAGTTACGCCTGTTTAGAAAAAATGGCGAATATCTGCAAGCTCGAGGTGCCGATTAAAATTAAGAATGACTTGGCACAAATGAAGGACGACGATGAAGCGGCAAAGAAATATTCGGTAGATTTAATAGTTCAGATAATTACAGACGTGATTAGGAGCGGGACTACATGTGGTTTTCATTTGTTCACGTTAAATAGGTAAAATATTAACAAGTGTTCAAAGAGAGGGTTGATATTAATTTAAATAAATAAAATATTAAATATTATAAAATAAATAAAATATTAAATATTATAAAATAAATAAAATATTAAATATTATAAAATAAATAAAATATTAAATATTATAAAATAAATAAAATATTAAATATTATAAAATAAATAAAATATTAAATATTATAAAATAAATAAAATATTAAATATTATAAAATAAATAAAATATTTTCTACATATATTGTGATTTTATAGATTGTCGTTAGTGGCGGAAATATGCAAACGTGTGAAATATCTTAAAACGGAAAACCCGCAGCAAAAGTCTGTCATGCTCTGATTTATGTTCCAGGAAAATCATAAGTCAAGTAGGAAAGAAAGATCTTTTGAATTAATTTTGTACGAAGCGAAATAAAATAAATTATACATATGTCTTTTATTTCAAGATTGGATAATGACTAATTAATTAGTTACTAGAACTTGAGTAATAAAGTTAAAAAGCTGATAACTTTTAACTGAATTTCAAATAAGTTATATTTAAACTCTAATTATTTTTTTAAAACGTGACATTCTGATTTAATATAAAAATAATATAATATGGATTAATATTAAATAATATATTAAATAATATATTAATATATTAAAATAATTTAATATAAATATATTTTTAAAATTATCTTTTAATTTAGCTTAATTTAATTTTAATTAAGTTAATTTTCACATTATAATATTCATGCAACTTTTAACATAAAATTAATTTTGTAGGTTATTATTATAACTTATATTAGTAAAATATCATCAACTGATTTCAATTATCATTTATTTATTTAATGAATTCAATCATCCAGTTAATTTTTTTCTTTCAAACTCCGACGAAAATTACAGACATATATATCTCAGTGGTTGCATCCCCATCATTTTCTAATATCTTATCGCGGGGCATACCGAACCTGCACCGCCGATACTGAACAGCCTGAAATTCACCGCGATCGGGCGCGATTCACGAGACGCGCGCACTTGACGCATGCGCGGCGCGGGTGGCGCGACGCGGCGGCGAAAGCGGCGCGACCGCAGTCAGTCGAGTTAGGGCGCCGCAGCACCGCGTGGCCGGTCGATTAGTCAGACGGTCGAGTCGAGTCGGTCAGTTCGAGGGTACAGAACTCCCGCGCAGGATACAGTTCCAGAACAAGGATGGCGCTATTCCGCTTCACCCCAAAACGCTGCCTCGACGTTCAGGTGAGTCCCACGATTCCCTTTCCCTTCCCTCCCCCTTTTCTCTTTCCCTCTTTTTCGTTCGACGTTCCTTTCGCGCCTTTCGAATTTATCCATCGTTTGTTCTGCACAAAGAGAACGCGTGAAAGAGAGAAAGAGAGAGGGAGTGGGGAAAAAGAGGACGATACAATGACGCTCGGCGGGCATGGCGTTCGAAATTCGAAATTCCACATCTGGAACGCGTGATAGCCTCGGGGCGGATTCATTCGCATTGTGGAAACGCCAATCACGGTGGTTTTCGCCGCCGCAAACGGCCAGCCGCGGTGTTCTATCGACCGGCGGGAACCCTCCCGTCCCGCAAAAAAACGAGCGAATTGGCTTCCAAATTTGTCGACGAAAAAAAAAATCGAGGATTATCGCATCGATTTTTCACGATGATCCTCAAACAAATTCTTTTGTCCGTTTTGAGATCGATCTTGGGAAAGACGTGTGAGAGAGAGAGAGAGAGAGAGTAAGAGAGGAGGGAGGGACTGTACGTGACATACAGGATGCAAGCCCGTTTGCGAGCGTGTTGGTTCGGTAGTCATTGTGTGAACGGGACTCTTCATCGCAGACCTTTCGTTTTCAGGAGAGAAGAGGGAAAGAGACTAAACCGAGTTTTTTCGATGTATGTGTAGTTCATGGTTTATGTGTGACCTTATGCGACTACAGTTAATAGTCGATTATTTGGGAACATCGATGGAATGAGTAAAGACAGCTACTGCGAAAGCGTCCTTTAACAGTATCGAAATTCAATCTCGGTGTATATTTGCATCTACATATGTTTATACGGTACATATGTTTATACAGTACATATGTTTATTCGACAAATACACGAAGAGCGTGCGTGTGTGTGATTCAACCTACGCAGGTAGAGAGGCTGATAATGGTCAGGGAAGAACGAAGAACACGATTCATCGAGATAGTCCTTCATTCCTATTTTTTTAGCAAAATAGCTCCATCTACACGTATGTCGATTTCCATTCGATATAGATTAATTTTAATCTTTAATTTACTTTTTATCTTATTTCAATTCGAAGAATTAGAAAAAGATAAGAAATAAATTAAACCGAGATTAATGTTAATCTTTATTGGTGAAAATGAACGGCAGTGCCCCCTCCCCCTCCTATTAAAAAAAAACGAAGCTTTGATGTCTCGAGGATTTCTTTCCTTTCTGTCAGGAAGATTGATGAATCCATCAAAGTCAAATGACATTGGATTCGCGGCCGGGGCGTGTTGCATAAGAATTGCTCGGGTTCCCTTGCGCCTTTAAGCATTTAAGTCGATCGATTCGCGGCAGTCGATGCCACGCGTCTCTCGGCGAGGCACTCGATGACGCGACGCGATGCGACGCGACGCGACGCGTCTCGTCGCGTCAGCATAAAAGCGCACCGCGTGCATCGAATCGATTCAGGAATGTTCCCGAGATCGACTTGTTTTTCTCAGAAACAGTGTAAACGGAAATTATGTGCTATGCGCGTTCCACATAATTGTGAGAAATGTTCCCTGTTTCCCGACAGGTTAAATCACGTCTCGACGTAATTCAACGTATATTCGGGAGAAAAATAATATTATATTAACAGCATAGAATTAAAAAGTCTAGTAGCAAACCTTATAACTATAACCTTGCTAATGCAACGGCAATAATAATGAAATAAATATATATGTACATATTTATATTTATGCATATGTATATTTTGCACGTATTTATTTCATTAATATTATTATTGAAGTAATAGCGTGATTATTTTTAATTGATTCAATGTCACTTTTTTCTCTTTAAGTGCATAACGAAACTTACGCATAAATAATATAATATTAAATGTAATATTAAATAGTAAATCTACAATATTGAACATAAAAAATAGATATTTATATTTTGTAAAATATATTTATAAAAATAGGAAGATAAATAATATCCGTAATTGTATTTTATAGGGGACTAGCATAATTATAATTAAATCCTCGAATTTAATTATCACACTTTATCATATTCGTTTCACCTGTCGGCTGACACGGTTTTAGAATTTGCATAAAAACAATCTTATCTCGTATTATGAGTCTCTACAAGATAACTGTACACTCGACTTATATTGTCTTGCGACATTAATTACGTTTTTTACGCAACGAATATTTTAACAGTGTGCACGGTGTAGTGTTAAGCATTTAACTTTGTCGATACAAAATATATATATATATATATATATATATATATATATATATGTACATATTTATAGATTACTTGTAATCGAAAACGTCAGCTATCATATGTTGCGCAAAGAATTTATTTCTTTCTTGTCGAAAATTGCAAACGCAGATATTAATGAAAGAATTTAAGGAAGGAAATCGATTTCGCGATAGGAGGAAAATTATTGACTGAAAACCAACCTGAGAAAGATAGTCGAATCTACGAGTGAGTCAATGATGTCTCTCTCATCGTAAGACTGACGTCAGATATTTTTTTCCTCTCCAATTAACCAATCGCGGAATTTTGCGGTTTAATAGGGAACAAGACTGGCAATATAATTACACGTTTAATTGGTCTCTCTCTCTCCCCCCCTCCCCCTCTCTACCTTTCACGCTCTCTTTATTTCTCCGTTTTCTCTCTTTTTCAAAGGAGAATCGGGATTTGCGATCGAGTTCGAGCTTTCATTTCCGATCCCACCTGTGACCACGAGGAAAATCATTTCCACGCGCGATTACGCAATGCGTGCCAACGGGTCTTCGACGTGCACGCATGCACGTTTCGAAATCGACTCGCGCGTGCGTTCGTCTGATTGACACGCGTCGCGTGACTTCGCGAAACCGATTTATATGGGGTGACCGAGAACGATGTGTTCGCTCAAGTGTAATCGAAGTGACAATCATCGGGCCTCTCCGAATAATAATTTAATTGCATTTCTTCTCAGGTATCAATAAGATCATTGAAAATGTATATTTTTTAACGTATCTAGAAAAATGTACATATTATTTACATGTATTATTTTTTAATTGGCATCACTGAAAGTGTAGTCCGTCCGCGAGGCGATTCGCACATCTCCGAACACGTCGCGACAGGCCTTAAAACAGAAGACGCTCTGGACTTCGAGCGGCGTGTATTCTAATTGAATTAGAATCAATACACGACTCCAAGCCGGGAGTCTAATTTTCATAATTGTTTAATGATACATTATATAATAATAACAACGCCCACATATCTCTTGAAATGAAAGGCCGCATGTGATATCACCGATATCATTTTATTCATTTCTTAATGACTCACTCTCCCCTTTGATATACAGTTGATCTCAAAGAGATTTGAACTCTTGAGATGTGCAGGCGTGACGTAACAATCACGCATCATTCCTATTTCCTTGAAAAGCGAACTTTTTTTGCCTTTCGTGCTCGTAATGAGAAAATAATATCGAGGCGTTGCACAACGCGGTGCTCTCGTCTATGCACGTGGCGTGCATAAGAGCTGATGGATTTTCCCCTCCTTCCCCCTCGCCCGCCATGGCACATAATATCCATTGAGCGATTTTGTAAGGGGCTGGTCTAATTTTAGCAACGATTTCGAGGCCGAAAATCCGCCTGCGCCTTGCCGCCCTGGTAATCCACATCGACCGTAACCCTGTTGATCTCGCATCTGGCATCCTAATAACTAGGCCAAGTCGCCTCGATCGGACATCCCCGTAGGCGGAAAGCCCCGGGGACTCCCCGAGGATCGATCGGAAATCTCTATATTTAAAACACTTGGGCTTGTGCATCGTTCGAGATTTTGAGCCGCGAATATGCCCGCCTCGGGAAATCATGTAATTCTAGCATTCTGATCTTGTTTAAATAAATCCTCCAAACTCACCTTTGCTTCTTCTTTATGACCTCGGGTCTGTTCTTTGTAACTGAACTAATATATACTCGTATTTAAAATGAAATAGATACGCATTTGAAGTTTAGGGAAAGAGAGATAGAAAGTTTCAGCTGCGATAAAAACAGATCTTTTTTTCCTCATGATAGATTCGTAGCGAAATGGCAGACATGTGGCAGGTCTTCTAACTTTTGTCATTAATAAATTAATAGATATTTATAAATAGATTATAAATGACGCGAGGAGCTAACGAGATTCAGGTATCTGAATTTATTATACCACGATTCTTGGCAGGCTTCGCGGAGTTTTCTTGTTATGTAGCTCTGTATATACATCTCACCTGTTACCTAATGTTGACGATATGATCTATCGCGTAACAAACTATTTCAGGGGCGATTCTTTCACTTCAAGTACGAAGACGTCATCTATTATTAGATTCTTCTGTGTGACCTGCCTCCAGATCTGTCAACGCTTATTTCATTGTCGTCGCGTTTCGCAAGACAGCCTTTTTTTTGCCTTACAAGTCCGTATTCCGTTATCGAATCGTGACGGAGAATTTTTCTGCAAAACGCACAAATTTCATGGGAATTTAACTACGGAGTGTTTTGAATAAGAATCAATAGAATTTGGGATTAATGTAAATATGATACTATTTTGAATGGCCTTATGTCACGATTTTAAAGTTAAAAACCTTGAATAGAAAGAGATAGAGATGTGTGAAAAGGTGTGTGTGGGGGGGGATGGTGTGGGTGTGTTTCTACATATAAAAATGCAAATAATAATATATATTTAAAAATAATATATATAATAACATATATTTACACTATTTATATATATTCGTGTTTACATACTCAGCTAATATATATTTACACTATTTATGTATATTCATGTTTACATACTCAGCTAATATATATTTACACTATTTATGTATATTCGTGTTTACATACTCAGCTTTGAAAGATCTTAAAGTAATCTTTCGTTATGCTACAAATATCAGTTCAGGGATTATGGAAGGTGTTATCTCACGTTAGTTATTAAGGGCATAGTTAAATATTGACACATATGTTCCCAGTGTAGCAAGTGTTTATAATTTATTGCTCTCGTGAGATAAAAATTTCTTTCGCGTATACTTATGACAACG